GGTTCAAAGTAGTTAATATAGAATTGGTTCTTCTATTTTTATTTTGATAGTGTTAATTGAAATGAGATAAACCTAGGGTAACCTCAATATACCAAAATATCTCATTTCAAAGTGAATTTTCTATAATTTATGACGGAAGATTATGACGCTTCTTCCTAGAACTTGTCTATAAGTTAGGATTAATCTATAGTATAGGTTATAATATTGAATTTAGATAGGTTCGTCTCTGGAATTATTAGTGATCTGTTTGCACGCCTGAAGTCTGGACGGTGATCACGGCACGCAGGGAGCAACTGGATCATTTTGTTCGTATTTTCAATTACTAATTTAGTAGCCTTTTAAAGGAGACAAAAAGCAACAATAATGAATAATAATTCTATTTGCTATAGGAAGTTTCTATTATTCATCGAATTTAATTGTATACACTACATTCTAGATTTATTTATTATATAATAGGAAAGTTCTAGGTTTTACGAGCGAAGCTATCGAAGCGTGAAGTGAAAGGCGGCAGGCGCTAAACGAATTTTGTGCTACCTATTCTTTAATAATTTCTATTTAAATTCTAAATATTTATTTGGGCACTACGATAAACAAAATTTCGTGAACAATATTTCAATTAATATTTTACTCTAAATATATTTTCATACTATATTAATTTATGAATTAGCCTACGAAGTCGGGCGAAAAATAACGTCAGACAAATCGCCCTCCCTGACCATCAAGATCTGCGTATCCGCCAGGCTGGAGCTCGTGACCGTTGTCCCCAGGATCCAGCCGTTCCAAATCTTCTGCATGATGTTGTCGGTGCTCAGCATGAGACACCCCTTCATGCCCTCCTCGTCCCGCGGCGTCACGGCGACCAGTAGCCGCTTGGCGCCGGAGAAGCGGTCGACGATGTGCCACAGGCACCCAAAGATCTGGTCCGACTCCTGCTCCGGGTAGTGCAGCTCCTCAAAGGCGCATGCAACGTGCCGGACGCGTCTGGTGTCCTCTTTGCGGAAAAAGTAGACCATGGGGCTGTTGAAGCCGTACTGGTCATAGGCCTCGAGCTCGCCGACGAGGTAGAGGGCGTCGAGACGGAAGTTGAACCACACGCGCGGCGGGCGGGCGATGGGGGTGTCGGAGAGCAGGGCCGAGATGCGCCAGCCAAAGGCGAGCTCGTAGTGTTCCAGGCCGAGGACGCGGGATTCGCGGCAGATGAGGAGGATGAGCGGGCACGTGGGGTTAAATATCACCCTACCTTGTTCTTCTTTAGTCTCTTCTTCTTGTTCACCTTCTCCTATAGGTGCGGCTGCCGCCGTTGTTGTGATGGTGGAAGAAGGAGAAGATGAAGGGTTGCAAGGTGCAGCGAACGAGCGCCTCGCAAACGCCTCACGCCGGACGGGCAGTCTGGAATCGCGTTCGAAGCAGCACGCCGTCACGACGCGGGGCGCAAGGAGGTAAGACCATATCTTGAGGCGGATCTCCGGGGGTAGGTCCGGGAAGCGGTGAAAGTGCGAGAGAGTCGTGAGGGACGCGGCGCTGGGGGCGTCGAGGCCGTCGTCGAAGAGGGAGAACTCGAGCCAGAACTTGGAGTCGGACGTGCGTGCTTTCAGGTGGGCTTCTTCGTCTGGTAGTGGAGGCGGCGGGCTGGCTGTAGTGTTGATGATGGGAGGGGCTGGTTCGATGTCCATTCTGTGACGACGAAGGAAGGGGGGGGGGAGGGGATGAGACAGAAGCCTCGGGGATATGTATGTGCGTCTCGACAAATATGTCGGCCGATACTGTGAGATAAGAACGGTTGGTGGCAAGGGTTGGCCCTTTCTACCTTAGGTAGTGGAATATGTGGATGGAAAAACAAGACCTCGGTGAATTTCTCTCACGGGCGACCGTAAAATACCGAATATGAAGCACACTTCTCTCATAAAGACGGTGAGAGACGATCCAAATGTGTGATGAGGTGAGGTTGCGGAGAGGGTCCGCCCGCCGGAGCTTGCGACCGCACCACAGAACACACAGCCCACTTTCCTAATTGGGTCAACTTGGCCACCTCGCCTTGGCGTTATGCAGCGAATCACAGTGACATTCGCCGCACCCAGACTTGACGAATCCAAGTTTTTTTAGTTTTTTTTTGAAAGGAAGGGCAGTTTTTTCCTTGTTTTCGTCGCCGCCAGAGAGAACTCCGCCGACGTCACGTTTGATCAATTTCATTGTTACGGAATACAGAGAAGAGACAGAAAGAGCTGTTGTGGTGTCATGGTATTGGGTTTGTGTATCATTTCTACGCTTCCTTGCATCCAATCTTGTCCCACTTGTTTCCGTCTGTTTATGTACGATGTCACGGTCTAATGAATGGCCTTGACGTGGAAAGTCTATCTTAGGTTGTCACACCACTTCACCTAGATGGAATATTCAACTCCTGCAACCTGGGACAACAACAAAAACTATCAACACATAAATTCCTTAGACTTACATCACGCAAATCATTCTCGACCTACTGCAGAGTCAATTCTCCGCCCGACAGATGCTCTCGTCTCCTGACGTTCTTGGTGGTTCCTCGCCTGCGGAAATAGCTAAGCAAGTAGACGCCTTCGTAAATCTCGTTTTGCCTCTCATTCTCGCCTTCCTCGACTTTGCCAATGTATACATTGCCTAGGAACGAGGCCGAGATCGTGCACTAAGAGACGTCAAGTTAGTTCCGTGGGTTAATAGAGCTTGCTCGACCTGTGAATGATGACTCACAAGGACCATAAACGGACATATGGCGACAAATGCCCAGACAACGCCCATCTTGGCGTTGTGAGTGACCTGCTGCTGCGTCGTGGTGGGCAGACTGCCGAGGGCCTCAAAGTCTCTCAAGGGCGAGTCCTCGCTGATTCCTGATGCGTTGTTGAACACGGTCGTCATGATGGTTAAACCCAAAGTTCCGCCAAAGGGATAGGCGACTGCCATGAGAGAAATGACAGCAGCGATTTTCTTGGGGAAATAACCGACGCCGTGGAGAGGGACTGCCCCGAGGATTAGTCTCACGATCCAGCAGTAAACGATGTATTGCGTATTCCTTACCGGGCATAATGCGGAGACCGATGCCGACACCGGTGAGAGCCATCATCCCGTATACGGTCGGGTCGTGCTCCGTGTAGATTGCCCACGCCAGCAACCCAATGCCGAGCATCTCCAGAATCGATCCGATGAAGATGGACGGAAACGTCTTGCGCGGCCAGCTGTTGCACAGGAAAGCGGAGGCGTAAACACCGACTTAAAGCTCACTTGTCAGCGAATCCTGGCTCACGAATCGCTGCATTGGGGAAAGTCACCTGCTAGGCCCGGAGTGAAGTACAGCAGCTGGATACCAGACTTGTCCGCTGACCAAAGCTTCACCATTGTGAAGTAGATGTTGCAAAAGTACAAGACAGAGTACATGGACATGCCAGTCGCGAAAGAGGTGTAGAACAAGAGGCCAATATCCCTGTTGCGAACCAACTCCCAGGGGATCATGGCTTTTTGCCACGGGAAGCGGCGGGCTAGGGCCTTACCCGGCGACATGTGGTACTCCCAGACGATGAACAGTATGCTGATCACGACCCCGAGGATGAGCGTTACGAGGACGGCGGGGCTCGTCCACGAGTACGTGGCGCCGGCCCACGTTAAGGCGAGGACCAGGAGACCGAAGCCAAACAGGAAGAGAAGCTGGCCTCCGACGTCGATTGTCTGTAGACGCTTTTTGAATGTCGTACGTCGGCCCGTCTCGGTCGTCTCGTCTAGCTGTGGGATGGGTTGTGGCCCGAGGAGTTCGGAACGAAGGACGAAGTAGAGGATGAAGATGCTGACGAAGGCGATGGGCAGGTTAATGCCAAAGCACCATCTCCAAGACGACCCGCTGGTGATGTATCCTAGTCATCCGTTAGTTTCCATGGCTGAACGAAGTGGTTTTGGAATCGGCTCACCTCCCACAACAGGACCCAGTCCCCATCCCAAAACACCCCCCAAGAGTGAAAAGATTGCCCAGTTCTTGGCATTCTCACGCAGCGAGACCTTGTCAGCGATGACGATACGGACGAGAACGTTTAGACCAGCGCAAGCCAGGCCTTGAAAGCCACGGCCGAGCAGGAGAACGGGGAAGGCATCCACCGGGGCGCCGGTGCATAGCGCACTACCTATGAGCATCAGCACCAGACACATCTGGATCGAAATATGGCGTCCAAAGATGTCGGCGACCTGGCCCCAGAATGGGATGAACGCGGCTGATGTGAGGTTGAAGGCTGCGATGATCCAGTTGAGCTGGCGAGTCTCGTCTGCGAAATGGTCAGAAATCGGAGGAGGACAAGATGGGACTCTAGGGTAGGAGGCTTACGGAAATCTGCTGCAATCCAGGGCAATGCACTTGCGACCTGTCGGAGCTCGTCAGTCGTGGTCAAGACTTGGCCGCCAAAGCCAGACTTACGATTGTCACGTCCAAGGCCTGGACTACCCAAGGGAGAACTAGCCCGGCAAAGATCTTGACTCTGTACTTCAACTGTGCCCGGCGATCAGACTTGCAAGTCAGGCATGGCCCAGATGTCGAATCAAATTGGTGACTACAAGCTGGTGTACTCGACGTTCTGTCTGATGGATTCTGGCTGTTCTTGTCTTGGTAACTGGTACCCTCACTTGCTGATACTTCTGTCCCGGCTGGTTTCGTGGCCGGTGTTTTTTGCGTTTGGCGCGTGATCGACTGGTAGGCCTTTCTCCCCAAGTAAATGAGAAACATGTCGAGGTCGTGTTAAGGGGTAGAACGCGTTCTTGATGTCTCTGTTGGTTGAGGAGTTGATGTCTGCTGCTGCTCTCTCAAGTACTCTTGTGGATGGTGAGTAGGTAAGATGATAAGCAAAATGGAAACTTGATGAGTCTGATTCTGAACAAAGTGCTTGGTTATATGCCACTTTTTATGTTGGGCTTGCTCCGAGGGGGCTGAGGACTCGTACAGCTTCGCATCAGCAACGGTGTAAGAAACGAATACATGATGGGGAGCTCGTTCCAAGACATGGCGTACAATTCGGCCAGACGAATGGGGCGTACGGGCGAAGTAAGACGACGACTTAGACGAGTGCGAGCACAGCAATGGATGGAGGCAGCCAGTGGGTCTTTGCGAGGCGCCTGCCGAGCTATTTCCGCATTCGCAGCAGCACGAAGATAAACGAAGGCCGACTTCATGGCTCACCCATCACCAGCCAGCGGGGAACGGAAGCCAAAGACGCGAATGCACAGCCCATGGACGACGACAACTATCTAGTTGATGATTGGCGCATTTGCGATTTCATCGGTGGATGGGAATGGGCTCATTGTTCCCGTTGCGCGCGCGTGACACTAAGGTAGTTTCCACGACTATCACCTCAGGGACCTGACCTGACCGTTACCGGGCGTCGTTGGGAACTGGCAGCGCACAGCACGACGGGACCGGGGAGAGAGGACAAGCTTTGCCAAGGCGGGCCAAGGCAGCCAGCCCTATCGCTGGGATCCAGCCAGTCGATAAGGATCGACGCAACAGGGACGTATCCACCAGAAGGCACGCCAAGAATTAGGCGAGTGCGAAGATGTGGAGAAGGTTCCGATCCTCTGGATCAGGTATAGGTACGACGGATGCCTGCATACCTTACTAGGTACCTTACTACGTATGTTCTTTTCTCGCATAGCCCCCCACGACACGTCCACCTCGTGGATTCAACCATTTTGCGACTAGCCACATCCACGTTGCGTGAGGTGGGAAGAGACGAGACAGCGGCAGGTCGTCACCCCCCATCCTAAACTCTTTGGCATTATCCGTAGAATGCAATGACTTATCCGTACGGGTGAAGCCCAACGTGCGTGCCGCTCGAAGCGCCTTCCCAAAAGAGAACAAACAGTCAAACACCCTAAACGGGACTGCGCCTGTCAGCACCAAAAGCTCTGTCTTACGCAACTCGCATCGTCGTCATTCGGAATTCGGCACGAGAATGCCACGGCGAAAACTTCTGAGCCTACCTACCTTATCATCGTCAAATGGATATACTGTGTGTGGTCTTTTCGAGTTCACCAAAAACCATTCACTTATCAATTTGTTTCGGAAAACACACATGGCATTGGATACTCGGCAACCGCGTGGCTACGGGTCAGCGAATGCTGGCTGCGCTGACGGGAGCCACCATACGGAGTATCCTTGCGCCGATCCGTATTCCGTACTTGTGTCTCTCGGATTGGACGAACCGAACTGCTCGTACCCGCCCGCACTTTCATGAGAATTCAGGACCTGACTCATCACCCAATCAAGTGGGTGCTTTCCACCCAAACGAACGCATCACCCAAATCAACACTTTCTGCAAATGGGAGTTTTTGAGGCTAGGGGAAAGGGCAAAAGTATAAGAATCGATAGTATGTTGTAAGGCATAATTTTCTCTACGTTACTGGTCATATATGGCTGTTAAAAGGAGGTTTTTAAAAAATAGGAAGTGGACTTTACTCTGGGTGTTCTTTTGGGTGATGCGTTTGTTTGGCGGAAAAGCACCCACTTTATTGGGTAATGAGTCAATTCCCATTAAAGTGGGGGCGGGCACGAGTGGTGTACGGACCCGTGCGGGCTGGCACCTCGAACTGCTTGTCTGGATGGAGGCTGGACCGCTGGAGACTGAGAGTGGAGAAAGCTCGACCTCGTGCCTCCGGATAATTTCCGCCTGTTTGAGCGAATCCCCAACTAAAGTGGACACCCGCAATCAGCCTCCTTCGACAGGCGGCAAAAACGGCACGGGGCGCGGGGTCGTCTGGACTCATTTTTGCTTCGCCATACATTGTAAGCTTAACCCCCTAGTACGAGGCCCACTGCCCCACGCACGCGAAGCTTTTTACAATTCAAATCTGAGGCTGTCAATTACTGCGCTCTCTACAGTCTCACTTTCACAGCATGCCCAACTGTTGTTGTCATTATACACATGGTAGTAGTATTACTACTTACACAGCAGTTGACTATTTAATTACGCCCTGCATGAGCCTCCTCTCTACTCCCGAAGCCACCTCATTCTACAAAACCAGGTCAGTCCACTTCGAATGTAACCACTTTCTTTTCCAAACATGGATGACGGCGACGTCTGTAGAGCAACATTCCAGACCCAAGTGCATTATTCTATTGCGAGGCAAATTGAAGCCTTTGGGACAGAGACACAATCAGTCACTGGTCAGGTCGAATCAAGTCTAGGCACACTTACTCGGGGTGAATTTATGCCAGGGTGTAATAGTTTGGCAACGGGTTCTGGGTGTCAAAGTACGTCATTACGACATCGCAGTTCTTGTAGACTGCGTAACATGTATCGGCGTCGGCAAACAACGAAGGGAGAATGACCCAGTACGTGCCGTCGTAGTCGCCAAGGTTGAAGTTGTACGTCAGGGTCCGGTACCTGGTTTGGCTACTTGACAGTTAGTATGCACAGAAACCCTCCAAAGTCAGAAAAGATGGGCTTTAGATTGGAGGCTCACCTGGAATCGGAGGGCACCGAGGACTCAAACTTGGCGTATATGGTACCGCCGTGGAAGCCGTCCGCATAGTATGTCGATCCGACTTGGACGGGCAGCAGGTGACTCTGGTGGCGCCTGCCGCAGCTCGAGTCATCGATGATATCGCACTGCACTGCTGCAGTGCAGATGTCAGCCAGTCCGAGCAGGACCACCAGCGCCGAAACAACCTTGGAAGGTGCGAGTAGTGGCAGGGAAACCATCTTGAGGGAAAGAAGTTGAATTAGACTGAGTGTGATAAAGTTTGTTTGAGGATGATGATGCAGCCCTGGTGTCTTGGCGAGATCTGGGCCCGTAATATATATGCCAATATTTCGATCTGTGTTTGGGAACCATGATCCATTGAGTGGACAACTTCAGAGACCGTATCTCTGGATATCTCACTATCTCACATAATCTCTCATGACTAAGTCCAGTCGTTCTTTGATATTGGTGCACTTTACGTGCTGACTCTGTCTATTCAACGGTTTTTGATAGTCTGACTCGGGCAAAATAGAGTAGAATAAGGCAGATCGGAATATAATTGCCAGAACCCTGGTGAACTCTAATAGTTTCTGGTCTAAAACATCAAGCTAGTATGATAAGTTAATATATATGCGAGTCAGCTCAGGTCATGGAACAAATTGTCTGAGCTTCTGTCTGAGCTTTTGAAACTCTAAACATGCTCTCGGGAATTAGACCGCTAGTCTAAGTGGTAGTTGCTGTCGTGATCCTCATTTCACAGAGGTCAGCTGTGAGCTGTTTACTGTGACAAATTCAAATCATCGAGTCAGAGCGACCCATTTGAGGATACTCGTTAATATTCGTTATCAGGTCATCATGTTTGGCGGCAAGCAAGTGCCGAAAGCGAGATAGGGAGCAAGGAGAAGGGAAGAGTCGAGGAAACCGGTGATGGGGCAGCTTGGAAACGGTAGATAAATAAACGACAGAGCTTCATGCTTAACGACAAATTTTCATGCCAAGCATCTCTTTCTTCCCATTCTTCAATCTCACAGACCACTGTAATCTTTCGAGCCTTTCGAGCCTTTTCAAGCTTCTAAAAATGCTTCGTTTACTTTCCCTGGCGCTGGCCTTTGGCCAAGTTCACGGTGGTGTGGTCGCCCGCGTGGATTCGTCCCCGAACGCCGCCTCATCCCTGCTTGAGAGGGACTTGGAGAGCAGCCTCCCGGCCTACAAGCCCGAGGAATTCTCTGACTACCACAAGTGGACTCCCGACTCTACCCTCTACGAAGGTCTCCCCCTACTGGAGAAGCAGGTCACGGTCGATGGCAAGCAGTTGACCTACCAGGACTTTAACATCTCTGCCCTCACCACGGAGCAGTTCAAGCAGCACTACATGAGCATCCCGCAGTTTTTTGATTCCGAGGGGAAGTTCATCCCCTCAGGCGATGAAGTCGAGTCATACCAGTACGAGACCTCTGCCCATCCCATCGTAGGAAATGTGTCCCACTGACCTTGAAAATCACAGCGCCTCTCTCATTGCCCTTGAGAGCAACCCCGACGCAGGTATCGCTCTCCCCACCAAGCATGTTAGCAAGAGGGCCTTCCCCGACGCGTGCTTCTACGACGACAGTCTGCGTTGCTCCAGCAGCTGCACGGACTACATTTCCCGTGGTGTGAGACAGTCCTTCAACAACAACGTCTACGGATACTACCACTACGTCTCGGATCCCCAATGCGGCGTCGGCTCCATCTCCAGGACCGTATCAGTCACCCACAGTTCTGGCGTTAGCATTGGAGGCAGCGGTTCGATTCCCGGGGTAGGTTTTGAGTCTTTGCCTTTTCCCTTTAAATGCAGCTTATGGATTAACCCCGAACTAGTTTGGCGCAGACAACTCATTGCTCAAGGCAGCCTCCACCTTCCTCAGCACTTTTGGCCTCACCATCGGCCATACTCCCGACAGGTTTGTAGCAACCCGTCCCCTCCCCACACACATCTCCCCCAAAAGCCCTCAAAATTTGTTCCGGTTGCTGACAATCCGTTATTCCAGTGTCACCACCGGTATCAGCTACTCTGGTAATTGCGGTGCCTTCAACGTCTGCTTCCTCTGGGAGAGACCCCACTTCAGCGTCGACAAGGGCGTCATCGTCGTAAGCAAAACCTAGCTGCCATACCTACTGAGAAATTTGAAATGGTGCTGACCAGATATCAATAGACCGAACAAATTGACGCCAACTCGAAGAGAACGTGCGCTTCCCCCACCATCACTCCGTACGAGGTTCACACCATGCACACCGACCAAGATGCTGGAGGTGCCAGCGCTCATGGACTGTGCTACTCTATGGCATACCACGGATGCGGTGGCCGGGTGGTCGCTTCTGACTCGATGATTCCTTGCCCCAACAACTACTAGATTTGGGTGATACCAATCCGACGCGACGGCGGTGGTGTAATAACTGCCCCGGGAGTATGCGCTGACTGTGAGCGGGCCAAGTTTGCTCTCCGGTCACCTACTATGCGCTCCTTGATCTAGACGGCAGAGTTGGTTACGACAAGCCTCATGGCGGACTTGAAGTTGCATATACTGACGGTACATATGGAAAGCATTGTGGTGTCAGGAATATGCGGTAGAATGGAGGCTGGTTTCTATTCAGTATTTAGAATTCGAATGCTAAGATATATTTGCGATGAAAGTCTAGCTCGTGTATGATTTCCAACATTGTGAAGCCAATTGACTGATGCGATTGCGGTAGACTAAGATGCAACATGATAGATTAATAGAGTGAGCCGGTCTACTGTTTCATCTTGTAAAAGGTCTTCTACAAGAGTAACCGAGTGCCGTGAGTAAAGAAAATGAGGAGAACGTGACATGGTGATTGTAGATACATTAATTGGCTAGCATTTCAGAAGACTCTTTTACGACCCAACATGTATACAGAACCATGGCCTGCCCCGCAGACACTTGGCGGCTACCGAACCAGATATATGCAGGAGAAACGGGAACTTATACAATCACTCACGGATCAGAAGAATTATAAGATAAGTTATGTATGAGTGAAATATTAAACTTTTGAGCGGCCTTAATAGAGCTTCAAGCGTTTATAACATACTATAAGTGCTTATAAAGGATCATAAACGCTTATTACCTTAGTCAAATAATTCTTAACTAAAGGTATAATTGAAAATAAGACTTATTGTTAGTTTCCGTCTCACAGGGTGATTTGTTCGATCGAGCCGTGGTGACGAAGGGTCAATTAACTGTATACTGATCTCTGCGTGAGGTGGAAAAGAAAGGTACTAACCGTAGGTTAGACCGGCAGTTGAACGCTGATGAAGAGGTCCTTAGTTGGCCCCTGCGCTGGCGCTGACTCGAGGTCGAATTGGCCTTCCAATCCGACAGTTATATCTTATGGTCGCTTTTAGCTTATTCCTTCCAAAAACCTTATTTGCTACGATCTGTACCTGATTTTCCAACCTTGAATTCCTGACCCGTTCTCTAAGATTTTCTTAGGAATTCTGACAGTATTTCTAGGAGATCTCCTCAAGAAATCTCTATGAAATCTTAAAAGATCATCGATTTTTTATCTTACTTTCGTCGCGCCAAAGTGCATAACATTATTAATAAGACTATAATTAATTACTTAAGCCTTATTTACTTTATGACTTATAAATATTGCTTCTTCAAAGCTATCCTAATCATGAGTATTATTATTAGTATCGCAGCCTAGACTTCTGTTAATATAAACAAACCCTTGCTGCTGAACAGCTGGCCGTAACAACACTGGCCGGTACGTTACTTGACGTTGTACATGCTATGGCACTTGACAGTAGACACCTCAGACAAGGGGATGTAAATCATTTGACTTATGCAGAATGGCCTATATATTCCACGAGCATAGTAAGCGAGAGATCTTGGAATTCAGAACTTGGGATTGACGGGCCCACCCAGCCATGCTTCAGTTTGACGCTTTTTCCTCTGCACTTGGACATTGGATATTGGCTTCATCGATCAAGCACGTTGGAAAATATGAACCCGCAATTAGTAAGGAGCTAGGAAGACTGGAATATGCGCTGATATTGACAGCCCAAAACGAGCGTTTGAGAACGTGAAGTAGGCGTGGATGCAATTGTGATGAGGATGAGGATGACGGGGACGGGGATAAGGGTCTCTTTCTTGCCATATCTGTGCCATGACAACGTTGAGCAAGAGTTCCAAGTCTGATAACTCTAGGAATTTGAAGATAGTTTCAATCTGGATTACTTCTACGGGCGGAATAATCGGTTTATAATTTGGATGCACGTTGAAGCAAGGTAGAAAGAAGGAGATTGAGACTTGATTAAAATAAAACAAAAAAACATATTACGGGGTGGCCCTGGAAGAATAAGCCTTCACCACAGGATAGTAACTGTATCTTGATCCTAATTCTGGTAAGAGCTCTGCATGATGTGTCCTTGCCGGAATTTGAAAATGTGCGGTCGTGCAAGCCAAAGTGGGGCAGCCTCCGATCCGGGGCCGAAGGTCCATAAATTCGGTGTTAAGAACTGCCCCTAGAGCCGGACTCGTCAAGTTTGTGGCCGGAGAAAAAGTTTCAAGCCCTTTCCTACGAGTGAGGGAACTGACATGCTGAATCCGGTTCCTGCGTGCTTCAATATTGTTAAGCAATACGTAGAGACAATATGCTCCAAATGCAGAACCCAAATGCTGTGCTTCGGCTTCGCAGACACGGCGGATACGGATCAGAGCCGCCATCGGCAACTTGCGCAGAGCCGGGTGCTTGATGCAGATGGCGTGGAAAAGGGAGGCTGCTGAAGCACTGGATGCTGTGTCACCAGCTGTGTCCCCCCACGCGAGGATTTCCGCAGCCCCGGAATTTTCTCGGTAAGGTTCTGAACGTTTGATGGCGCCTCCCCTCTCCGGGTGCGACCGGCGGTTTCCCAAACGGACTAACCAGACGAGCGGCAAATGATGTTCCTGTAAGCGTTAGCTGGCGGCGGTGGCAGGTTACCAACCTAGGCGCAAGCTGCAGGTGACCCGGACTGACGGTTTTCTTCCCACTCACCCGCTGTGGAGCGGCCAGCGGAGCGTATTCCAGGTTCTCGATGGGGTGCTGCTGTCCTTTGACCCGAACACGCAACAGGCTCGAGAGGGGATTGGTCAGATGTTGCCCACAAAGGATCGGCACTGGTTTTGGCCCGGGGTTGGTTGCTGGCGTTCGGCTGGCTCGGTTTAGGCCGCTGATTTGAGAGCCCACTTGCGCTTCCCCGGCCGACGTCAGGCCGTTCTACTTTTCACCCGCCGCACCTTGGTTGGACCTTGAAGATTTCCGCCTGATATATCGCCAGGTGGCCCTCGGGAAGGCGGAAGAGTACCTACCGCAGAGGGGCGGAAGGATAAGGTAGATGGTGCGGTAGACCGATCCCGCCTCGACAGCATCAACAATGCCAGATAACTTGCGAGGATGAAGCCTTTAAAGGTGGCCTTTTGCATCAAGTTGGTTCTATGGAAGGTCTACCAAGACTAGCGACTAGTCGTGCTTCAGTGACAAGCAGCTTTGTCATTGCTAGCGTCACCTGATCATCTATTCCCCAACGCGACAGTGAGGGGCTGTTCCTCGTTCCGGAGCAGATATAGCCTGAACAAAAATCGGGCTTCGCCTAATAACTTTACGATTCGACCCGGACTCTTGAAGAAGCGCCGAAAAGTTCCCTCGACTCAATAAATGACCACCAAACGAGGGTACTTGCCACTGAACGCTTGTCAACTCCCAAGCAGGGGACCACAACCCAAGTAACGTTGGCAACCCGGCGACGGAGAAGAACAAGACGAAGACCCCCGTAAGAAAATAGACCAACCGGACCCCAACCGCCTCACAGCGATCCCTAAGAATACCTTGAGTAATATCCGTACTAGAAGGCACATAAGATAAACCATTCCTCCACCTTCCTCGTTGGACCCCTGGCCATTTCCCCAATTAAGTTGTCCCGCGGGGGAACTGTGGGATTCTGTATCCACAAATTACCATTCCGTCTTCCCCTCTTTTCTCTCATTCTCTCTTCGGTTTCTCCCTTTGGGCCTCCACTCTCTCTTCCCGCCATCACGAACGCTGCGTGGAATGCGACTTGGAACCATTTTTTTTTTTTTTACCTGTGGCTCAACCTTGGACCGGCTCACTCTCGATGATCAATCTGGATACAGTCGTCCGGACTTCCTGAAGATATTATCTGTTTGGAATAACGGCCTCCATCCGTCCAACTTCTCACCCAGCCTCCCTCCCAGGCGCCTTTCACGAGCAAAAACCGCACCAGTTCAACCCTCGTACCCGAATGAATCAGTCATCCGCCAAGCGCATTCGAGGTGTGTCGCAACCCACACCCACAATCCTTGTACCCTTGTCTTCCTATACACCCAAGTCGCATCGAGCGCATGCCAAACCGGTGCTGGATCCGTCCGTCCAACCAGAGCCGCCCATTGCCACGTTCTTGCAATATTCCCCTTCGCCCGAAAGGCTCACATTCGCTGGCGCCGCGTCCATAACCCCGTGGGGTTCGCAGCCTGAGCCATCTCAGCCAAGCACGTTTCTCCAACAAAAGTCTACCAAGACAAATCATCTGCAACCTGCACCTGCACTTGCACCTGCTTGTGGAGCCTGACGTCGGATTTCCAGAAGCGCCCATCGCCTTCATTGTATCATTTCCCTCACTCACTCAATCATCCCCTCACTCACACGTACACTCACACACATACACGCGCACACACTCTCTCACCTTCCCCTCCTCTCTTTCTTTCCGCGCCGCCGCCGCCGCCGCCGCCTTCATTGCAGCAGACAACCCGCTCACTCCCCGTCACCTCGAGTCGCATCCCGGAGCTAGTCCACGAATTCTATTTCCTGCATCTCCGTCATCCTATTTTGACTCCTCTTCACTTCTCGTGCTCGACCCAGTCCCTTACAGGAGCCTGTGGACACCTTTGACGATCTGACTGTGCGCATTGTAACGAGGTGAGTGGCAGGTGCCCATGCTGACCTGTGCCTCTCTATCTCTGGCGGGTCCCGTGCCAGGCACGTCCATATGATCGATGCCTTCACTACCTTAGGACAACTAGGCAGACTGTCTTGACCAAGGGACTAAGTACCTTATCTCTAATCACTGTACCATACAGGAACGACCCCGAACTCAACAAGTCATCAATTTTATCCGCAATCTTTACCACTACTACGTTCAACGCCTTCATCTAAACGATAGCCAGCGGCCGCACGTAACCGGCTCGACTGCGCCGGTAGGTGACATTGCTCTTCTTTCCCCTGTCAAGCTACGCCTTTATCCATAGAGTCTCGGCAGATTACGAAACTGGCCGCACCCATATTATCATTTCGCGTCGGGCCTTCGGAGCGAGTTTCACAAGCCAAGGTCCCCCTCTGCCTCCCAGGGCCTGACCTAGCCAGCGCGGGTTTCCTGAAGTGCCCGTCCCCTCCCCGTTGTCCTGTCCTCCGCCAACCCAATCAAGCGCCTGCTTCCGGTTCTGCGGTACGAACCCTGAAGACCTTCGTTCCACATGTGAAAGGGCGTCTTTTTCCTCGAGACGAGAACCCGGGACCCCGGAGTGACTGGTATCTGCACGCCAGCCCATCCCAGTCGTATTTGTGGGGGGTTCCACTTGATCCCATCTCTCTTAGTGTTACCCATCTCATCTGTACTTCGTCCTCCATCCCGCCTTGCGCCTTTCTTGGTATGCTGGTGCCTACCACCCTGGCTTCACCTTGTCAGCCTCTCTCTCTCTCTGTCCTTCGTGCTTCCTTAGGCCCGTCGATATATCCCTAGCCCACCCCCCTTCTTGGAGCCGAGCGGTCTCCTCTTTGCACCTTTCCCTTCCCCGTATTACACTACACTATCCATAGTCGTTCATATGTTGTAGCATTATCTAGTGTAATGCCACCTTTTTGTTTCCAAGACTGCCACTACTTCTACCGCACGGCGCTGCGCGGATTAAACATTAGCACCAACGTCTCGCCTCTCTACGGATAAGAAAGGAGTCGTCCTCCGCTAACAATCATGCCCACTCAAGTAAGAATCTTTTCGCGACCTAGGCCTCTCGGTGAGACCCTCGAAAAGGCCATCCCTCCATCCTCGGTTCCTCGTTCCATCCCCGACGCTTCAGATCTTTGGAAACAAGTCGAACCGTCAAAACTGAAGCAGAGCACAGAGGCCACTCGCTCTATGGCAGTGTACAAAGACAAGTCCGTCGAGGGCGGTGTCACATTTGCTGCCCAGGAAAAGCTCAAGCACCTGCCCATCCCGGAGTTGGAAGCCACCGCGCAAAGGTATCTCACAGCTCTTAAGCCGTTGCAGTCTGCACGAGAACATTCGGAGACCAAGCAATCACTACAGGATTTCCTGAAGCACGATGGCCCGGCCCTGCAGGAGAAGCTGAAGACTTACGCTCAGGACAAGACGAGTTATATTGAACAATTCTGTGAGTGAAATCACCCCCGTTATCTTGGTCCCGACTGACCGGCTCTATAAGGGTATGATTCATACCTGAACTTTGATAACCCGGTTGTTCTCAACCTCAACCCATTTTTCCTCCTAGAAGATGATCCTACCCCTGCAAGGAACAACCAAGTGACCCGAGCGGCATCGCTCGTAGTGTCTGCTCTGGAATTTGTGAGAGCTGTGCGCAAAGAGGAATTGCCTCCTGATACGGTCAAGGGTCAGCCTCTATGCATGTACCAGTACTCTAGGCTCTTTGGAACAGCACGCGTGCCCACGGAAAATGGGTGCCAGATCGAGCAGGACCCGGACTCGAAGCACATCATTGTCATGTGCCACGGTCAATTCTACTGGTTTGACGTTTTGGACGACAATAACGACCTCATCATGAGCGAGAAGGACGTGTCTATCAACCTACAGACCATCATCGATGATGCTGCCCAGACGCCGATTCAGGATGCGGCCAAGGGGGCACTCGGCGTCCTCAGCACAGAGAACCGGAAGATCTGGTCGGGATTGAGAGACGTCCTGACCCGGGAGGAGGGTTCAAACAACGCCGACTGCCTAGGAATCGTTGACTCGGCCCTGTTCGTTCTGTGTCTGGACTACACCGAGCCGGTCGACGCTGATGCCCTATGCGGCAACATGCTGTGCGGTACCAGCCTGGTCGAGAAGGGTGTGCAAATCGGAACCTGCACCAACAGATGGTACGATAAGCTGCAGATCATTGTATGCAAGAACGGTAGCGCCGGAATCAACTTTGAGCACACCGGCGTCGACGGCCACACGGTCCTGCGGTTTGCCAGCGACGTGTACACGGACACCATCCTCCGCTTCGCCAGGACCATCAACGGCCAAGCCCCGACCCTCTGGGCCTCCACCAGTCCCGACCCAGCCAAGCGCGACCCGGACAGCTTCGGCGAGGTCAACACCACGCCGCATAAGCTGGAGTGGGACATGAACCCGGAGCTCAGCGTCGCCGTCCGCTTCGCCGAGACCCGCCTCGCCGACCTCATCGAGCAGAACGAGTTCAAGACGCTCGACTTTAAGCACTACGGCAAGAACTTTATGACGTCCATGGGCTTCTCCCCGGACGCCTTTGTGCAGATGGCCTTCCAGGCCGCCTATTACGGCCTCTATGGCCGCGTCGAGTGCACATACGAACCCGCTATGACCAAGATCTTCCTCCACGGCCGCACCGAGGCCATCCGCAGCGTCTCGGACGAGTCGGTCAATTTTGTGCAGACTTTTTGGGCCGACAACCCGGCCGAGCACAAGGTAGAGGCCTTACGCAAGGCGTGCCAGCGGCACGTCAACAGCACGCGCGAGTGCGCCAAGGCCGAGGGCTGCGACCGTCACCTCTACGCCCTCTTCTGCACCTGGCAGCGCTCCGTGGACGACGAGCTCCTCAGCAGCTCCAACGGCTACTCCAGCCCCGTCGACGGGTCTTCCGAGGCGGACGCCGGCGAGTCCGCTGTCGGGAGCCCCGGCCGGCAGTCGGTCCTCTCGCTCAACGGCGCCGAGCTGCAGTCCTCCTCCACCGGCCGCACCCGCGGCGAGAGCACCAACTCGCGCAACGGCAACAATCAGGCCGCGATGCCGCAGATCTTTGCCGACTCCGGGTGGGACAAGCTCAACAACACAATCATGTCAACGTCCAACTGCGGCAACCCTTCCCTGCGGCAATTCGGCTTCGGCCCCACGTCGGGCGACGGCTTCGGCATCGGGTACATCATCAAGGACGAAGGGATATCAATCTGCGTGTCGAGCAAGCACCGCCAGACGAAGCGATTCGTCGACACCCTCGAGAGCTACCTGCTCGAGGTGCGGCGGATCCTGCGCATCACATCCCGCCGCGGCACCGGTACCGGCATGGGCACCAAGCAGACCCGCGCCCGCGAGCTCGACCTCCAGGCCCGACCTAAGCAGCCCAAGGGGATCAAGTCGCGCGGCCGCCTCATCACCGCGCACGACGCCATCAAGCCTTCTGTCGCGAGGTCGTCGACCGGCACGCAGTCGCCTACGGAGGAGAGCGTCACGCTCAGCGAGGATGATGAGCTCGGAGGATGTAAGTTGGCTTTCCTTTGCATTTTGGCGGGGTTTGCTCGATTGAATGACTTTGCTAACGCAACGTGTGATTAGACGGCTTCTTTGACGCCGGCATGCTCCTCCAAGCACTCAAGGCGCGCGGCGAGAACATGGACCCCGGGGAGACGAAGCCCTCGGAGCGGGCGGCGGTTCAGGCGCGTCGGAGGGAGATTGGGAAGAAGCTGCGACTGATTGACTATTAGTGGAGTGTTGGAGCCGCGGCTTTGCTTGTGTCTTCTCTGCTGGGCTATGGAATGGACCGCCTTCGTCGATTGATGAGTAACACCACTGTGGGACGGGAAACGCTGTGGACCGGTGCAAGTTTACCACGAGAGTGGTGTACATGGAATAGCAAGCCATCGTTTTCTTGGATATATACCCTCCTTATACTGAACCAATACCTGTCGCATGGTCTTGCTGTAATTGCTGCGAGTAGTGTATAGTCTCTACGTGTTTGGAATGTGTCGCATAAAAGAATGCCACCTCAGTAATGGAAGGACTTGGTGATGCGACAAATTCTTTTAAATTCATCATCTACTAATCATGGCGAAGAGAGGGTGATATCCCTTAAAAAGACCCATTCTTCCCTTTGTGAAACAAAAAAATTAACCACAGCTCTGTGTGAGGTACTGCGTCGTCCTTCATCAGGAAGCAAATCATAAAGCCCCAAGGCTTCCACGATCCCGTTACACCTGCTTCAACCTGTGACGGTCCCGGGTACTCGCAGCACTTTCCTTGTGTGTAGCAACCACCTCACCGCTTCCGAGAAAGAAAGAAAAAAGCATCCCGAGTAATACACCAAGTATATACAGAAACACAAGGCGCCACGTCGCAAAGACACGACCTAAATCGATGGAAGCGTCGCCATCGCACAATTAAGCAAGCTCGTGCATATGCCCCTTGTGCCCGTCACCACTAGTAGGCGCCTCGTGGATAGTCGACTGCGGCTGCGGCTGTCCACCACCACCAAACTGCTGGAACCCGCCTTGCGGGTGGCTCGGGCTGACGGGCTGCGTGCTGAGGCGGTTATTGTGCGTCGCCTGGGACATGGCGCTGGGGCTCGTCGTGTCCGCGCGGTCGGGGGCCGCCATGTTGCCGTTGTAGTAGACCGGCTGCTGATAGCCGCCCTGGGGGCCAGGAGGAGGTGGAGGGGGCGTGCCGCCGTAGCTCTGCGGGTAACCGCCCTGGCCGCCAAACTTGGGATCGTAGAGGGACTGCGTGTTCGTTTGGGCGGCGTACTGCGAGGGCGAGCCCTGAGGTGCTGGGGCGTAACCCATTGGGGGTGGCTGCTGCTGGTTCATCATGGGAGGTTGGCCGTGAGGTCCGGGCTGTGGCTGCTTCTTCTTCTTGCGGAGAATGAGAAATATTCCAAAGGAGATGAGGGCGATAACAGCGATGCCACCGATGACGCCTCCGACGATGGCACCGACGGGGGCGGAGGAATTGTTGTTGTTATTATTGTTGTTAATGCCGTTGTTGTCGTTATTGTTGTTGTCGGGGGGGTTGGTTATGGAGGGTGCGGACACAGAGCCGCTCGCCGTCCCCGTGATGAATCCGGAGCTGGCCGGCCGGATGACGCTGCTGGACGTGGTGTCGTCCGTCAGGGCGAGTGGGGTCCAGTTGCGCGCCGGTCCGCCCGCGTAGGTGGTTGTTGCGGCTTGCGGGGTCGAGATCTCTGCCGTATTGCACCAATAGTCAAAGATGCCATTTGCAAAGGAGATGGTGTTGCAGTAGGGCCGGCCAGTGCTGGTACTGAACACAATGTTAATCATCCGGAAATGCGAAGCGCTTTCGGGGAAAGAGTCAGCTTCAGGAGCACACATACCACTTGAGGGTGAAGCGATCAACGAGGCAGCCGCCATCGCAGAGACTAGACACTGAGACCTGTCTAGAATCGTAGCATGTCCGTCGAGCACCGCAGTCGCTGGCGTCACAGCAGGCAACTCGGCCGGGGGTGTCGACGTTCACCGAAGTGAAGAAGATGCAACTGGCGGCGGTCCCGCAGGTGTATGCGGCGCCGGCACGCCCAGAGATGTAGCCACAGGTGTTATCAGGAGCGACGAGGACGGTGGTCGTCGTTGATGTTTGTCGTTTCCTCAAATCAGCGTATGCCGGGGCTTTGGTCGGCTGAGGGCTGAATTGGTCGAGGGGAAAGTTGAACGAAGTTGTGGCTTGGGGGAGTTCGTAAAGCTTGGCACTGGCAAAGCTTGAAAGAGCTGCCAGGCCAGCAATAGATCGGAATGTGTTCACCATGTTGATCGCCCTTTGAGCCAATGAGACAGACGAGTAATTGGACGATGGTGTTGACCCGAGAGAGACCAAGCAGGACAGGAGGAGACGAGGAACACGGCTCGGAGAGCAGACAGGCTGAAAGCTATGGTTATAAACCCAGCCCTGGTCATTCTCCCGCACCTTTCACCATCGTTGTTGTCCCACATAGGATGCTCTCGGGGCACTGGCTCACGGTACAAGTCGTCTTGATAGAGGGCAATGGGGTGTAAGCAGCGCCCGGGACCGGTTCATGCTTTGGTTGACTTCAATAGCAGATCCGCGAATTGCTCAGCCTTAGACTAGCTAATGAGCTTAGGTTTTGGGTAGGATCGGCTAGTCAGGCATCCGGGGTCCAATTAGGCCAATCGTAAGAGAAATTGTCCATTGTGGCTTGCCAAAGCTGAAAAACAAGAGTGAGGTTAGCGTGGGCAAGAAGAGCAAGGGGAGAAGCCACTGAGACAGGTGCATCACGGGTGAGCATGAGGAGAAGCGCGGGGGTAGCCTAGAGACAAAGACACGGCAGAGAATTAGGGACGGGGGACAAAGTGTTGTTGCGCAAAGAGCGTAGGACGTCCGAGTAATGAAAGGTGGCTATTCAGGCCCGTTCGAGACATCTGCGTGTGAAGTGTAGCCATGTTCGAAGCACCAAAGATTTGCTCCAAGCGCCGTCGGCTCTCAAAGACTTGAATGAGGCATTGGCGGCTGTCGTGTAATCCTGTACTCTGTACAACTGGAAGATGCGGCAATACTGTTGCCCAGATCTAGGGTCTTCTCGAAGGATATATGACAGAGTTTGTTTAATTGGACCAGTGTATCATCGTTTCTTCCACCGACGTTCCCAAGAGGGCGCCGAAGGTCACGATCGAATCCTTCCTGGAACCGAGGGGTGCCATAGACATCAGACCTTGCCGTTGGAAGTCGGGTTTCCCGTTACTAGTGAGTTGATCGAGGAGTATCCGGCGTGTGAGTCTGACGCCCTTGGGCAGGCTGGAATTAGCTTTCGACGGAGGCAAGTGACACTAGTCCTATCTCGCACTTCATTATTAGACAAGATCACCGCCTGAAAGCAGGCTTCAGCCTCGGGCCTGTGCTTGTTTCCTTAGGTCAGTTTGAAATGAGAGTGGTCCGGTGGTTCAATTGACTTCGAACTCGGTGGCTAGGTGTTCTGCCTCTCGGTTTTTCTTCACTCCCGTGTGCGTTGTCTGCCTTGTGCTTTCTTGGTCTACTTGCCCAAGCGGGTGGCTGGCGGCTCTCATCTGCACATCATCGGTGATCGGTGATGTAAGACATGTGCTCTAATATGTATCTCAATGTGTTCCCAAAGCATGTGAGGGAGCGCATACACAGCGACAGAGACGCAGGAGACCGAATAGCTCGCCAATTATATATCGATTTTGAAGAAATAGACGAAATACTTGAAACTCTCATGGCTGATGCAGCAGAGGTGAGTTGTTGAGAAAGCAAAAGCATTTCGAGGACGTCAACACAAGGTGCAGTGGAGTGAGTGGGCTTGGTCCCTGAAGCTCCGCCTTATGTAATTCCTCACGCCAGATGTGGGCCCAAGCTTGAAACCATCGCCCTTCGCCCAATCAGTCGAGGGAATTAGCCTCTCCATCAACCCTGTCTCGATGATGGTGCGCATCAAACATATGAACAGCTAAATACGCGCCTGTTTGCAAGACCCATCCCGGCCAAAGCTTCCCAACCTGATCAAGAGGAATACTGCAATGAGAAGCACCGGAATTCCCTTGGCCTCTAGATCTTGCCAAATATCTTGACTCCATTGACCCCGACTGGCCGAACCCCCCTTTACTGCATTCAAGCTCTCGGGACGAACCCATGTTCACATCCCATCTCACTCACCGGGTTTGCCATTTCGATACATCAACTTGGCGAAACGCAGCAGAATCTAGAGGCTTTGAGGTGCTTGCAAGGACCATCTGACAGTCCATGCTGCCATAGTCTCCTCACATGCCATGACCGACCTGCTTCAACTGATACCTGACTTCCCTGTTAGGCAGTTTGCTGGACTGGTACAGACCCTGGAACGCCACCAGCTTTCCGTCACCGACATTCTGACTCAGGATGTCATTGATATAGGCAAGCGCACCCAGTTGCCCTTGCTTGACATCAAAAGACTCTGCGCCGCTGTCGTTGATGCCCTCCATCGGGATTTCGGCCCTGCTAATGAGCCGCCGAATGCCAGCCGATTTCTCAAGCGCTCTCTGACGGACCTAGAGAACCAATGGTCTACAATCAGCACTCTGGACGATTCTCTCGACCGAGCTTTGGGGGGAGGCATCCCGGCCGGCTATGTGACCGAGATAACGGGCGAGAGCGGCGCTGGGAAAACGCAGTTCCTGCTGTCCTTGTTGCTGGCCGTTCAATTACCGCCGCCATATGGCTTGGGTCGTCCAGCCATCTATATCACAACGGAAGCTCAGTTATCCACCAAACGTCTCTCGCAAATGCTGTCATCCAACTCGCGGTTTGCCGACCTTGCGCCAGAAGATAAACCGTCTCTAGACGCAATCCTCAGCACCTCGACACCCGACCTCGAGTCACAAGAGCACATTCTCCAATTTCAAGTTCCCGTCGAGGTCGAGCGGCGGAATACTGGACTCATCGTTCTGGACTCGGTTGCTTCCAACTATCGAGCCGAATTCGAACGGGGAGCTCTCGGCAATCATGGATCAAACATGGGAGCTCGTAGTAACGAGCTCACACGACTTGGAGCCTTGCTTAGAGAGCTGGCCCAAAAGTACAACTTGGCTGTCGTTGTCGCCAACCAAGTCGCAGATCGCTTCTCTAGTCCTTTTGCGCCGATTGCAACCCCTAGAGCGGCACCGGCTGCAGTTGCAGGCTTCACCCAGGAAAGTCCACTGGCATCACGGAGCAGAGGACCTAGAGCTTTCTCTCCTTCAGCAGTCGAGCCGACCTCGTCCATAGCCGAGCATGTTCGTTCTAGCATGCCTGAACCGCCCGGTCTGGACGATTTTGGCCCGCCTGCGCCTCCCGCGCTGGCTTTCGATCATCAGCAGCGTTGGTTCACGGGGTGGGGCGATGATCCATTTGCCGACTACGGACTGAAGACGCCGAGTCTGGGCCTTGTGTGGTCGACGCAGATTGCGTGCCGGATCGCGCTGTTCAAGAAACCCGTTTATGGAGTGCATCGACACATAGAAGATGAAGCAGATGATCGGGGCATGCCGGCACTCAAGAACTGGCGACGATGGATGAAGGTGGTCTTCGCCCCCCACGCGAAAGCCACAGGACAGGGTCTGGATGGCGCTGTTGAATTTGCAGTGACTATGGCTGGATTGAAAGCGGTTAAAAAGAAAGAGTCTGATGACGACTGAAATCGTAGCTGCTTCACAAATATTGACATCATCTGTATTTCTGCTGGTCGATGGATATTGACCAGCCGCCTATCAAACTTGACAGCCAAACCACCGCAGAGATGGATCTGTCACTCAATGACATCTGTGGTCACTCGTCATTCAACGTTTGAAGAACAGTATAGCTATCGTCATCTGACAAACCACAATGGAGGTGGACGGTGATGAATGCGATGAGTCAATAGTAGTTGGGACTTACATCTGACTCCTGAAACTTAGTTTCAGGAGGGAGAAGAAGATAAAGTAGAGGATAGATCACTCTTTGGGGTTAACAGTGCTACCTTGTGTTGCCGCTCTCACCGTCGTCAGCCTTGTGCGATGTAAGAGGTGGCGGACAAACACCAAGCCAGCTACGCGTGTGTATGCTGGATGAGTGTGAGGTTGAAAATCTAGAAAGCTCCACATGAACCACAGAATGCGGGGTCTTGGCACGAACCACCTTTTCAAAGCGGCAAAGGGCTGGAGAGATGATGCTGTCTATTGTTGTATCCATATTGCCTCATCGAAAGCACGGATAGGCTATGGAAAGAAACGAAATTAATGGTAGAAACGAAACAAACTTTCCAAAGTTGAGAGAGCCCCAACTCAGATACCACCCGACCTCTCAAAGGAAGCTTCCGCAGGTTGCAGCTGCTGGCGGAGGTGTTTCATGGAACACGAATAACACCTGGCCCCTGATATTAAGGACTGCAGGAACGAGAACATACCCCGGCAGCTGCTTACGTACTGCACCCGAAATCCGATGTCCCAAGGTAGGGAGGCGTAGACACCTGAAGACGCCACTGGATAAGGACAGGCTTCCATGGTCACAGATGTGTCTGAATGCTCCACTCAACCCGTTCCAGAACCTGTACAGGCGGATCACGTGCCAAGCCCCATGTCTGGCTAGCCTCACCAAAGGGTTTCATTCGTCGGTGACATCTGACTCTCCAGGTTGACGTGGGTCCTTTTGTTCCCTCCGCTAGGCGGTAGCCCACTGGACGCCCTCAGCACTGGACACACTGGACACAGGACTCTGGGCACAGGACACCGAGCACTAATCAGAGACTGGCACTGGTACTCCGCGCTAGAAGCCTTGACGTAGCAGCAGCCTGCATTTACTCCGTCCGACTCCTACCACCTCACTTGACCTGTCCTGTGTTTGGCTTTGTTGCTTTCACAACCTCATCACGACACCACCGAAATCCATCAACCTCCCAACACCTGCACAACGCCCATATAATCGCCCAGCGCGCCCATACCTGCCGCATCTTTCGGTCCCCACCAGCCTTCATCGGACCCCCCGCTATTCACAATGAACCCCGAGTAGTACGTTGCGTCAACCGCCTCCTTGCGAAACGAGGAAAGCGTCGGGAGTCGCTGCTAAGCTGACCTTCTACTCTCACAGAGTCTCTCCCTCATCGATCCCGATCCCGCCCCTTCGATCTTTTCGCTCCGTCGTCGCGAATATCGCCAGATTCGCCGCTCTTCGCTATGATTAGATACCGATACTAACCCGACACCAGGTACGATTACCTCTTCAAGCTTCTCCTCATCGGTGATTCCGGTGTTGGAAAGTCTTGCCTCCTGTTGCGATTCGCCGACGACACCTACACTGAGTCTTACATCTCCACCATCGGCGTCGACTTCGTATGTTTTCGCCCGCTCTCCCGACGCCGACCGATCGGCTGCTGACGATAATCCTTAGAAAATCCGCACGATAGAGCTCGATGGAAAGACGGTGAAGCTGCAAATCGTGAGTTGATCCATGCGGCGAATCTGCTCAAAGGAGTAAGGATGTCGCAAATACTTACATGTCTGTTTCTTTCGCAGTGGGATACTGCTGGTCAGGAGCGTTTCCGCACCATCACGTCCTCCTACTACCGTGGTGCCCACGGCATCTGCGTCGTCTACGATGTCACCGACATGGATTCGTTCAACAATGTCAAGCAGTGGCTCCAGGAGATTGACAGATACGCCACTGAGGGCGTCAACAAGCTGCTTGTCGGCAACAAGAGCGATATGTCCGACAAGAAGGTTGTCGAGTACACTGTTGCGAAGGTCAGACCAACCCCACCGGTTATTCGAGCGCCACATCGCTCAGCGATTTCCTTCTGCACTGAAAGCCCTCTCTTTTGAACACTTTTTTTTTTGCTAACCCTCCAACAGGAGTTCGCCGACAGCTTGGGCATTCCCTTCCTCGAAACCTCTGCGAAGAACGCCAGCAACGTCGAGCAGGCTTTCCTGACCATGGCCCGCCAGATCAAGGAGCGCATGGGCAGCACGACCGCCAACAACACGAAACCCTCCGTACAGGTTGGACCCGGCCACGGCGTCTCCTCGAACTCGGGAGGTGGCTGCTGCTAAATGTATCGTCCCTGATTTCTACGAAGCCCGCTTTCCTTACCTGTGTTCTATGGCATTTTACGGATTTTTCTCGGCGGAGGGGGATAGTTGGGCAGAATGGGCGAGGAAGGAAAGGCACAGCTCATGAAGGTGTAGGGATCACATTTGGCTTGGACGATGCTGTGTCGTTCGCTTTTCTCTCCTTCCACGCAAAGGCTGCTTTCCATACTTCTACGCATAGATGAGTGTTGATTTGGGTCGTCTCACCTCCTTCTCCGCACTGCACACACACACAATCGACACTAGATACCTCTGTAATTGGACCTTCGGCGTTGCTCACGGCATACGATAGAGCCCCTGATGCCTACAGACGAATGCAGCAGCCGGACACTTGGGCATTCCATGGGAGACCGAGAGGGAACCCGATATTGGACTGGGACAGAGGGACAGAGGGACAACGAGGTTATCTCGGCGTGTGTACAATGTGTAGGCTTTGTTGTGCTGGCGTACCGTGTACTTTGCATTCAAGCCTGGTTGGTAGGGGGCGAGCACATCGACAACGCAACGGATCATCCGTATGGTGTCTGCGCGTTTGTCTCCAACGGCATGTCTGTTTTCCTCCTTGGCGGCTGCTGCTTTTCTGGTAGATGAGGTCGAAGTAATGGGGAAGTAACGTTTTCCTTCTTGATATTGAGGCTACCCTGGTGATTCCGTTTGGTTCGCACCTCGAATGACACCCTACGGAATATAGGCGTGAGTCTCACACTGAATCACACCAGCCGTCACCAGTGATTCTACAAGCGTTTGCAAATCGAATCAAGTATGACGTGCGGCGGGCACGGGAGTTTCGGATGGCCCGGTCACCGGTCATCGGGTCCGCCTCACGTGGGCGTGCCTCGGAGTATAGTCTGCGAACTTCCCCCCAAGTATCCCACGGGGAAAAAAGGGTGGGAACGCACATGACCCCCGCGCGGTCACATGCGTCCGGGATGACTTTGATCCACACTTTACCCGATAAGCCCAACTGGTCACCACACGTCCTAACTCAATGGAAGTGAGCGATGTAGGCACATCGATACATTCCATGATCCTTTTCGTTCTCGGCCTTGGAAATGAAAAGGGACCGTATGGAAGCTAGGCGGGATGGCCAGTGGCTATTGCTTCTGAAGAGTCAACCTTTAATAAAGATAGTTGTCTAGCAGGGCTCTCGACTTGAGCAAGAGAGATGAGTGCATCGACGCGTGGTAGGATTCAAAACACCAGGCCGGTGTTATGGAGATGGCGGGTCTCTCGCGAACACTCTGTTGGGTAGAATTCAGTCATGATCTTTCTGGATAGGATAATACCAAGTCGACGGATGTAAGTACAGATGTGATTCCAAGGATGACAGGCCGACCTGTTGCAAGTATACACATTGCTCACTTTCCACCCATTTCCCTTGACTTGACATTACCAACAATACCCCAGTCCCGGTTTCCACGGTTGGTCGATTCGATATATGCGGTGTGAGGTGAGCCAACGCATGGGAGCTGCCACTCTTCTGCTCGGCCCCTTGGCAAGATACTGCCATCACTTGCGCGCCGTCTCGAAGTATTGCCACGAGCGAAAAAGAAAAGGCGCGTTTGGAAGAGTTTCCTTCTGTATCTTTGGGAGATCTACCCCTGGTTATTGTTCGACTACATTTTGAATCGAAAGATCGCGCAGATGGCGCGCTCTAAACTGTGAATAAGAGCAACGACAAAAACCACCGGTCCTTGAACCGGGCAGCAAGTATCCATCCATTTCTCATTCTTCCCCTTTGAAATGATGTAGTCCTTCTTCCAACATGATACAGTTCCCCCCTAACCTCTCCATAAGTCAACCTCCCTCCAACTCCTTTTGCTGATGCCTTGGTATTGAGACTAAGCATGAAAACATCGTTACAGGTCATGCCAAAGAAAAGAAAATGCATAGCCAAAACGTTGAGCTGTGAAAGTACACATAATTATACAAACCAACGGCGTGACTTGTCAAGCCAGGCCGAGGAACTTCAACGCCTTGCGGCTGTTTCCCTTCCGAACCTGATTCTTCTTCAGGAACATGGGCATCAAACGTCTTTCCTCGAGGTCTAGATCGCTCTCGTAGTCCATATCGACGGTCAAGATGGATGCGCCATCGCCAACGGTCTTCTTGTCGCCTCGTCGAGACTTGAAACGCCGGCTCATGATGGTCTCCGCGATTGAAGAAGGCCGCACTGAAGCCCTGATGGAGCCCGATGTCCCGTTGTTGGTTTTCCGGCCACTGGAGGACGGCGGAGACATTGGAGGACTCGTGGAAGCCTGTGGGAATGCCGAGAAGTTGCCGGACTGTCGCTTGTTCTTGATACCACCATCCTCAGGCTTTTTGCTCTCTTCAGGCAAGTAGAACTTGGAAATGTTGATCAGGATCTTCCAGATTGTGGAGATGAATGTGGCGACTTCCGTCTCGGTTGCGGTGGATGTGAGAAGAAGGTTGGCTTTGGAAACCGCAAGCCCGTCTCGCGAGGATGTCGATGCACCAGACCTCGATCCCTTGGACTGGAGTGAGCTTGTACTTGAGGCCAAGTCACTCACGGTGGAGACACGTCCCAAGGAGCTGCCTCGGACGTGGGTGAAGGGAAGTGGTTCCTTGGCTTGAGCATCAATGACCTGTGCAACCTTCATCAGGTCAACGCCGACCAACTTCTGCAAAGCGAGGATAGTGGCAAGATGGTCCGGGGGATATTCGAGAAGGAGGAAGCGGACTTCCGAGTGCGCAGCAAAGAAAGTCTCAAGATGAGGAATGATGAGGGTCGCAAGGAGATATGAGTTGGTGAAGGGGTTGTCATGAGTCTGGTTCGCCAGCGGCTGGGCAGTAAAAGACTGCATCGCGTTTGCGATGAGATACCTATGAAGACCTATTAGTCAACCGCTGTGAAACTCAAGCAGCGTAAATCACTTACCTGAAATCCAGCCTGCCCGTCCTGGAAACGCCACTTGACTTCGTGCCCAATTTTTCGAGCTGGCTAGTCACTCCAGAGACAAACGTTTTCTTGACGCCACGCTGCGAACCAATGGCCAAGATTTGGTCTATCCGGCGGTTATCTTTTCTCGGGCTTCCGCCAGGCTCGACATCCCGGAAGATCGGCTTCCACAATGCGTCCATCTCGGGGAGCAACGGGAAGTTGAACTGGGAGAAACCCCTTCCCTTGGGTGGGAAGTAGATATTCAGCACTGATCTAAGGGAATTTTGCATGGCCACAGCTGTCTGACCGTGCACAGCGTTGAAGTCGTGGAACTTATCCTCCGACTCTGACAACGTAGGCGGAGGTGTATGCGCAGGCGTCGGCAATGCTGATCTTATCACAGTCCGGGTGAAAGGCTGTACTGGCTTCGCGGTGTAGGTTAGACCTTGGTAGGAAAAGGGGTCGTACTCTTCCGTGGTGACCTTCGCCGTGGATGTGAGCTGGGCCACTTCGGGCTCGGCCGCTTGCCATGTTGGAGTCTGTAGGGTCGATGTGTTACCATCGGCGGTAGACGCTCCGGGAGAGACAGGAGAAGGCAGTGCAACGGGATAGATGCCTTCTCTGAATGCCTTGATCATGTATTCTAGAATGGGGTCTGGACTATCGTCCTTGAAGTGAATGACGAGATCCTCATAAAACGGCAATACGGGCCGGAATGGCGTCTCATTCACGGAAAAATCTTCGGCGTCAGTCCCTCTGTCGACATATTTAGATCTTGACTTGGCATGCTTGCGTTTGCGGGCTCTTTTTTCGGTAGGTGGAGGGGGAGGCAAAGCCTTGTTCAGTCCCTTGTTCGTTCGGGCTGCTTTGACATAAATTGTCTTCGGACCATCCACACGCTTAGCGCTGCTCTCTCGTTTCTCTGCATCTTCGATAAGTTCGACGACAGACACAGGGCGGCCTTCAGCGACCTTTTCGGCGGCAGTCTTCTCAGCGGAATGCCTCTCAGAGAGAAGCTTTTCAGCGGAAGTCTTTTCATCGGCAAAGTTCTCGTTAGGCTTCAGTCGCATGAGGGTGTCCCTGTAACGAGAACTGCTCCGGCCAAGATGGCCAATCGACTGGGATCTTTTCAAAGTTCTGGATGAAGCAGATGATTTCATACGAACGAGTGATGCCTGTTCAATGAATATCGGCTCGGTTGAGCGGATGCTGAAAACGTCGGATCTGGGAGATGCCACATCAAGCAGGCCAGTGGGATTAGGCGAAGAAGATGAAAACACATCGTCCCGTTCATATGCCTCACCAATACAGCTTGGGGACCGAGGGGCTGCGGGCACAATTGGTTTGCCGTCACTGTCGAAGCCTTCGCCAGAGACCCTTTCGAGTTCGTCGAAATTCGTGATGGCAAGTCTGGGCGTTGGGCCAAGAAGATGAGTTGAATCCACGGGGTGTACGTCGTCCTTGGCATTCTCCTCGTGACTCTGGCCGCCGAAAACATAGAAGGGTGCCGTATCACCAAAGGTATCGGCGAAGCTATACATAGGTAGACTCATGCTTCTCGGGCGCGGACGGCTGGCGGGAGTGGTGAGGTCGATATCGCTCGATGGCTGCAAATTTGCAGTTTCACGGTCGAGAGCATCAGCAGCACGCATGGCTCTGGTGATGGGGTCCTCGCTTGTTTCCACCGAGGTATCGAGGAATGAACCGCGTGAGTTGGCGGGATATTCATCGAGACCGGCGACTCCTCCCTTGACAAGATCGTTGAAGATGGCTTCAGCTTTGGAGATATCCCCCTCTGTCACATTTCGAGAAATGGCCCTGATGCAGACAGTCTGCGCACTAGGCGTGCCTCCGTTCATGAAGACCAGTCTTTTACGCTTGGGGGTCGAATCCTTCAAAAATAACAGAGCTGTTTCTCTTCTCTTGGCGACAGCATTGTGGACTCTCCTGACAAACTTATATGCTTCGAAAGGCTCATCTGGGCTCTCGAGTTCGAGGAATTCCTTGACGCTTGGGAGGATAGCAATCTGTGATGATGTAGGTAGAAGACGAAGCTGAGTCGAAATGAGGTCATGGGGGCCCTCGAATGCCACGAGGCCGCCATGGTATGCGGCAGGCTCGGCCATTGAGGAAGAGTCGTCCAGAGATATCACGATGGAGAGATGCGCCAAGGCAGTGAGGGACTGAGCTGATTATGAATTATTCGGTGTTCGCGAGGAAGAGGTGAAGTGCAGCGTCCACGGGCAGTCGGTGTGTGTTTATTTGTCGAGAACGTCTTATTAGCGAAGTGAGAAAAACCCGTCGACAAAAGGCGGAAGGTGTGAATGAGTGCAACCAGTTGCAGATTCTCCCACGTTGGCCAGCTTCGTCCAGGTCAAAAGCGACAGCAGTGACAAGCCGAAAGAGAGAAGAGAAAATTGGGTGTGAATTGGAGAGAAACTCAACGGCCACCGGGCAAGGAAAAATATGAAGAACAGGACTGAAGAGAATAAAGACAGGTAATGGAGCAGGCGCAGGCGCAGGCGCAAACGCGGAAACTGGCACAAGGACCAAAATTTGTGGCTTGGGTCTACCGAGTCGATGTTCCTGATTTACCTAGGGAGACACACAAGAGAAAGTAGACAAATAGTTCGCGTCCCCAAGCTACGCCCCCAGGCGCTAGTGTGGTAGGTAACGACGAAGTGGCTTCCCGGTGAGAAAAAGGGGATGCGATGTGGAAAGAGCGACCGGATGTCTGGGTCGGGATGGTGCGGTAAGCTTAGGGCCTTGTTGGGGTGCCTACCTATTTGGAAAAGATGCGTCGTCTTATCCGAATCAAGCTGAGGCCATCCACCTCACCTCAGCCGGGAACCTTATGATCACCTTCCAGTCGAAGTGCAATCTAATGATGCCTTGTGCTGTGTTGACTAGGACTGGGGGCAACGAAAGGCGGCAAGCGGCAGGCGGTAGGCGGCAGAAGTCAGACGGCAGGAAGCAGGACATCGCGCCTGCCTCATTCAACGGAAGCTCTCCTCAGGGTGCCTGCCTCCTTGGGCTTACCTAAGGTAGTCAAGCAGTCAATAGATGAGACGGCGCTCCAGGCTCGGATGGTATACCCAGATCCAGGTTGTCGAATGATTCTTCAGATGCGCGTGACCCTTATGACGCTTGATGCACAAATCGAGGTACACCAAGAACTGAAATTGAAAGATTGAACACGAAACGGCGCGAATGCTCTCAGCGCGGGATATCGCACTTGACCTTGCTTCGCCCTTGGCCAACGCTCACTATTGAGCTAGCTCGACTGCGTGCGTCCCTTAGAAAGACGGTAGCGTTCAAAGACACTCCAGGTCGAGATGGCTGACTGGAGCCAGGTCTGGGGCGTTTAGACGAAAGGTTCACGCTACTACGTCGACATTGGCAGAGTCCAGTGGGATCAAGCTCCTCGGCGCCTTCTCCCTGGTCGTTACTGATGGCTTGAGACTAGCACCAAATCGATAATCCGATTTGACCTCAGCGTGTCGCAGGAGCCAGTCCGTCGGCATGTCCAGCATCGGGAAACAATGGCACACTGGTTTGGCAGCTGTGCAAGCTGCCGTCACTTGCATCACTGATCGGCTAAGCCATGTCGCCGTTTGACGAACCCATCATGATAGTCTGATATCGACGGTATCAGTCATTGCAACTGCGAGCTGCGAGCAGCGAGCAGGACGAACGAAACAGGCGAAGCGAATGTAACACAGTGTCTGCAAGGGCTCCGGGCTGACAGCTTCCTTGCGGGTGAGGCGACGAGTCTGCGTTGGACAAACAGAGTTGACCAAACAGAAGCCTCCTTTCATCTATGGCGAACGCACTTAGATAGATAGGTGCGTGAGTACCAAGGGTATCTGTAGATAGTTGGAAGACAGCTGCATGGAAGAGGCACTATTCCATAGTACCCGCGAGAAACGTCCCTCTACCTCCATATTGTGCAAGATCATAGGATAGCCCGTGCAGAGAGAAACAAGAGGTAGATCGGGAGGTTGGATAGCTCAGGAGGCTGGGACAAGGGACGCCTGGATGCGGCACTTTGCGATGATTGATGGCGTTCCCTCAGTCTGACCACTCAGCTGGTGAATGAGGTGGAAAGTGGACCCCCAAGACAGTCTCCAGGGTTCAGGGTTCACATTCGGCAAGGGAGAAGCAGGGGCTGCGGGCAGGGGTGTGTGTACTCGAGAAACGCTTTGCCTATCTGGGCGATCGACGGCAGGCCTCCTTCTTAGTCGGGGGGAAAGAGCCAATCGGCATAGCAGGATCTGCCCTCCCTGTTTGCTCGCAGCTCGCTTCCAGCTCATTTCCAAGCAGCTTACGGTCCTTCCTCACCAAAATTCCAAAGAAAGAGGGACTTTTTGTTTGCTCTTCCGCCCCCTGCGTCCTGCCTTTGCACGACATACACGTGTCTGCAGGGAAATTCTGTTCCTGCGTGACAAGGGCTGTCTGCAATGGTTCCTTGACTCCATCAACCTCGTCAGTCCTTTCTCATGGTGTCTGGCAAGCTTATCACGAGACTTGGACATTTGCAACTTCGAACATCACCCATGGCTCGAGAACCGGGTCAACTTGCCCATCAGCATCATAAATCTCACCAGGACTTCACGTTGGAGCCCCCTTTATGTGTCGAAAACCGAGGCATTCGCGGTCGGATCCCCAACTCGCGCCACCAATCCAACTCTATGTCGCATAGTTTCTCTCTAGCCAGAACTCTGTGCCAGAGCACACGCCCCTTTTCAGTCGGTGTCTCCACGCGATATCGCAGCCTTCCCATGTTTTCGCCCTTTCCCGAGCGACTACAAAGGCATGGTAGGCTAACGGTGTGACGGATATGCGTGCAATCCACAATACGAATGGCAATCATCAGGGAACCAGCTTCGTACCGCGCCGTCGATATCCTCTCTGACATGACTGAATTATCAAGGCGGATCTGAGGAGAAAAGTACGTGGGAACAGACAGTTCACGACTTTAATCTCCATGCCATCTTCGTGCGAATTCACTTCTTCCACTGGAACCAATCCACTTCGACCTCACCCATCAAAATCCTTCAACAGTGGCCCTAGCACCCCCGCCCGCGTTGTTGACAGGGATGGAAATGCAACGGATATTATTAGACTTTGTGCCCCGGCGAAGAACTATTGGCTATATGAACCTTGCTCTTTCATGGTTGCAGACAGCAAGCAAGCCTGCTTAGCCGTCGAGATGGCGACCTTGTCGCCCGTCAGTCCTACCATAGCGGTCCTATCCGCGAACCTACGCGCGTAGTCTAGATGGAGACAGGGGACCTCAGCCCGGATGCTGTCTGATGTTGCATGAGACGGCCAGCAGGCCGGTTCCTGAAATTCTCACCTTGCTGTTCGCTGACTTGCTTCGCCATTTCTCGTCCGACAGCTTACTTCACGACGTGGCTACCCAGGCGAATTTGACTGACTGCCTTGGACCGACCCATACAGATTGCTTTTTCGTGGGCAAATTGAAGAGATCTGCCAGCCTTGATTAGCGCCTCTGCATAAGGTATCCCACCTGGGCAGCCGATCGATCTTCGATAATCCACAACGCGGCGCCTCTGGGGCTTGTCCCGTGCTCTCGGATCGCCAGGCAGTACGTTTTTTCAAAGGCTGGTCCAGCCAGGCTTGGAGAAATCCCCACCAAAACCACCTCATCGTTGCCCTTTGAGTCAGTTCCTGCAGCAACGGGACAACTCTGTCACCAGAGGGAGCGGTGAAGGGCTTGAAACAGACTAAAGGCAGTCTTTGTTGTACGGCAGACAACCTGAATCGTCGAGACGGCGGCCACCGGTCACAACGTTGCCTCGATTAGGACCAAGCGATCTGCCCTAGACTCCTCGATGTTCCCCACCACGGTCGCTTACACAGCTGTTGGCATCACCTGCAGCATTTATTCTTTGTGGACCGCTGTTTCTGCATGACAATTGTCCGGCGGCTCACAGACTGCACTATAATCGTACAGACACGCACATACTCACACACCTCACACAACTTGTGGATTCCAACGCGTCGCGCGTCGCGAAGCTCACGACCGGCAGCCGCGATTTTGGACAATATCTTAGACAAGTTGCGGACCATGGGATGAATTCAATGCGTCGGCCCCAACTTGTCGGCCGGACCAGCTCCGTCAAGCCGTGGCCACGCAGCGGCTAAAATGTCTCATCTATAGCCGCACTTGGGGAAGCCTAGATCCCTCTTCTGCCCGTGCGGCTTCGTGGGAAATGTGGAAAACGAAAGCAGTAATCTCTTTTTAACGTCTGTGATTCATCTGCTGGCAAGTTCGAGACCTTTCCATCGCAGTCCGGCGGAGACCTAGGGACGTCTGAACACGCTGTCAAAAGCTTGAAAATCCGACTTCCCTGCGGTTGTTCAGGTCACACAAGCCCTCCCGCCGGCAGTCTTACCCCCTGATCCGTACATTGATCGCAGCCGGCTCCAAGATAGCCCTATAGCTCCCCATTCCTATCAAGGATTCCCTGGAATGGATTCCTCAGCTCAAGGTTGGCTGCATCGCGGTTCAGGTCCATCGCCACTTTTTATATTAAAAAAGGCCAGGATGACAGCCAGGCGTCGCCGTGTCTCGGGAACTTCTCATGCTCGCCCGGTCTGGCAAGCTATTGAAACTACTAGTTTATGTTAGCTAGTTAAGCAGATGCGTTCGAATACGATGCAGCCTCTCATATAGCCACAGGCTTTCAGTTGGCATACGGTGGTGGCCCAAGATGCTAAGGGATTGTCCAAGATCATCAATTACCCCGGACGACCAAGCACTGAGGACATGGCGGAAGACTGGTCCGGAAGATCGGGCCGCTAGACAATTTCCGAACATGGACATGTACATATATATGTTAGCAGCACGCATCAGAAGATATGTGGAATAGAGGACTGCGTTTGAAAGATCGTCGAAGTGAGGTTAAATGATGTGCGTGCACCACGCCAGAGCACGCGGCGATCTGCATATATCAAGGCAGTTCTCATGAAGCAACACGTGGAAACCATTCGGACGAATCATTCTAGTCAGAATTATTTCTGAAATAGCCTACATCCTAGCGGACCAGGTACGCCACGGATCGGTTGACTGCATGGGATGTTGCAGATGTCGACATACACAGCTTCTCCTGTCAAACAGATCATGAACAGAGAACTTCATCGCTTTGATATCATTACGACTTTGTCAACATCATGCCGCGATCATAACTCTTCTGATAATGGCTGCTACCACGGTTATGCCGAGGAACAGTCACCGTTGCGGCACTTTTAGTTAAGCGATGATGACGAGCAAACACACACAAGATTTTACTGTGTTCGAAAACAAAGTGTCCTTGACCGGTGAAAGAGAATGGACTAATTTAGGTAGACACATTAACAATGTTTCTCGAGAGCAGGGTACCATTTCCCACAAGAATTTACTGATTAAAGTTTGAGTACGCCATCCCGCTGCCCCCATCTGTCGATAATCCAGTAGAGGTTTAATATTGGGGACCAGGTGATCATAATCCAGCCACTAGACTCATCAAACAGTGTCCTCATGGGTGGAAAGAAGCACACAATTTAAGTACACTATGCTCGGGCTTGAAGCATTTGATAGCGATGGTGGCTCTAATTCTTCGGTAAGTCCTGATCGCTGGGGCTTCCCAACATTTTTGTGTTGTAGAACATAATTAGGATCCCAACATGAAGCCTGCAATACTTAACTCAAGAGCCCCCTATCATTCACTATTGCGTCAAAGGTACTTCAAGTGATGGTGGCAACAGCATGCAAAAGGAGTAATGATGGGCATCCTTCTCAGTGACGGGACTCTACTTCCTAGTCATCTTCCATCAATGCAGCCAACTCCGCTTCCTCCTCGGCCGTCATCAAAGGCTCCTTGTCATCCTCCTTCCGCTTCTCCTCCCCCTCCTGTCCGTCGACAGCCTCCGCCGCAGCCCGGATCTCCTCGACTGCCGCGTCCAGCCCCTTCCGGTCAAGAGGCCACGTCCGCAGCGTACAGTCAATACCGACACTGCACAGCACGTCCGAGGACCGGCCCGCCGGGTCCCGCAGGACGACAAAATCCGTAATCTCGTCAAAGTGCGCGTCGAGGAGGGCGTACAACTGCCCCGAAGTCCGGTCCCAGACCTTGATGTGCTGGTTGATGCCGCCCGTGACGACCCAGTCGCCCGTGAGCGCGATGGCGCGGACAAAGTCGCCGTGCTCAAAGGCGTCCTCGGAGGAAAAGGCCTTTTCGCGAAGGAGACATTTGGTCGTGCCGTCAGCGCTCGCGGTCCAAAGGTCGACATCGTCGCCGGTGACGTCGAAGAGGACCTTGTACACACTCGTCTCGTGCTCCTGGATCGTGAGCTTCTCCTCTCCCGCTGCGGACTTCTCTCTGGCAGCCGCGTCAAAGGGGAGCTGCGCGTACGAGTCCAGGGTAATCTTCCACCGGCGGATATGCGGGTCGCTGCTGCCGCTGACGAGGACGATCTCGTCGGCCCCGCTGAGGACGGGGTCGATGGCGAGGGACTGCAGCGACATCATGGTCGTGGTCGGGTCCTGGAGGACGTGCAGCTTGCGGCCGGCGTCGGCGTCCCAGACGATGATCTTTTTGTCGGCACCGCCGCTGATGAGGATGTTCTTGTCGCCGAGGCGGCCGCAGACGAGGGCCTTGACAAAGTCTGAGTGGCCCTCGTACTTGCGGCCCGGTCTGCGCGTCGCAACATCCCAGGACCAGACTGCCTTGTCCCAGCTTCCGGCGAAGAGGATGTTGTGGGAGGTGCCGCCTGTCGCGAGACACGTTACGGGGACGGAGGGGCCGGTGTATTTTGCTGTGATGGTTCGTGTCTGTGATGTCGTGAGCCCCTGACCAGTATAGACTGTCCCCGCTCACTAGAGTGGGATGGGTGCGACGAGGCCAATGAGGAGATGTGGGAATCTCATCAGATGGGTGAGAGAAGCTTACCTCGGTGTTCACCCGCGACACCCTTCCTCCAGACTCTGCCACAAAGACGGAGGTGTTCGACTTGGTATCCTTGATTACAGCCAAAAGCTTGGAGGGCATGCGCAACGGGTTGCCAAAGGGGTTTCCCTCCTTTTTGGCACGTTGCTGGCGCTTCTCCTGCTGAGTGCTACAACAATTTCAGTAAACGCCCAGTAGAACCCGTCTGGTTTTGCACTCACTCCGTCTCGAAGAAGTTCTCCTGGTTGGATGACTCCATCTTGAGAGGGGTATCTTTCACTAATGTATTGCCAAATGCTTGAGTTGCGTTTTCAAGAATTGTAGAACAGCATGAGCTTACACAGCGAAGGCTTTTAAAACAAGGGCGTGGTAACCAGTTGACGGGCAAAAGATGGGTTTTTGGGAATTTTGATGCCTAATCTTGGTAGTTCTTCAGGTCGCCCACTTTCACTCACCAACCTGTATTTCTCATCAATTCTGATGCCTGCGATATGTTTCTGTGAGCGCGGTGACAGTTCTTCCACCTGTGACCAGATGGCCGCAGCGGACATCAGGAAACAGTGTCTGGCAAATGTCGGTACGTACCTGGCGGGGTTCCTTCAACGACCAACGGTACCTGGTCCCGCACCTGCCAAAAAATAGTAGCTTTAATTGAATTCGCGACGCGCCTGAACGCGTCCCTCCCACAGTGCGTCTGTCCCACCATCGCCATATTCATTCTCTCTAGCACACATCTCCAGCCCACGATCCCATTGACTATACCACGATTTTGCAATCAGCCAGCTGTGCATCCATTTTTTGAACCTCGATCTCCTGCAAGCGGAGAAAGCTTCAAAACACCCATGAACACGAACTAAGCCATATCCCAAACACCCACCCCAAATGGCCTCCTCCCTCGCTCCGAAACCGCGGCCGAGGCCGGCGCATACAACAGGAACAACCCGCCTCGCCTACACGCCCTCAGGCGCCCGCCTGGTGACCGTCGGCTCCAACAACACGATCCGCCTCTACCGCACCCACCACGACGGCGAGCCCTTCAACATCGACGACTGCCCCGAGCAAAACTGCGCTGTTGCCGCTTCAGACGCCTTCTTTGTCGTCGGCTCCGAGGATGGCACCGTCAGCGTTTACTCGGTCGAGGACACCTCCTTTGAGCGCTTTATCACCCGCACCTCCCTACCCGTCCGCGATGTCGCCCTCTCCCCCGACGCAAAGTGGTGCGCCGTCGCCAGCGACGAGCTCACGGTCAAGGTCGTCGATACCCAGGATAACTCCCGCATCCGCGTCCTCAAGGATCACGGCCGCCCGACGAAGCACCTGGCCTTTGACCCCAAAGGAGGGCTCTTGGCGCTAGCGTGTACGGATGGCGTCATCTACGTCTACTCCATGACGGCGGAGACGCCGGAGCTGATCCGCAAGGTGGACGGCGTCATCGGGCCGCTCGACCCCGAATCAGAGACCTCGGCGAAGATCGTGTGGCATCCCGACGGGCGGGCCTTTGCGGTGCCGACGCCCATGCACGATGTCCAGGTCGTTTCAAAAAATGACTGGGAGAAGCAGCGGACGTTCGCCAACGGGCACTTGGGTGATGTCACAGCGGTGGCGTGGTCGCCCAACGGCGCGATGCTGGCGACGGCGGGTAAGGATGGGAAGCTCTTGATCTGGGAGACAAAAACCCAGAGCGTGATTCAAAAGTTTGACTACAGCAACGTTATTGATATCACATGGCATCCCAAGGACAATCTGCTGTCGTTCACTACGTCGGACGGCGAGGTCTACATCTACCCCAACCTCATCACGGAGCAGTTCTCCGGCTTCCTGCAATTACCTCGCCAGCCCGCGCCCTTCATTCACGACCCTCTCTCCGAGATCTCCAATAATGCCAGGAGACCAGAAGCCAACGGCAAGGCCGCTATTCCGAGCCGGCCCCGGCGTGATTCGCTGGGCAGCCTTGACTCCTTCCTCAATGGCGAGGACGGCTACGATGACGGAGATGACTTCGTCGTTGATGATGACGGCGCAGGCTACTCGACCGGCACGAAGAGGCCCCTTGATGGCGGCGGCGACGGCGGCGACCGCGCGAGCAAGCGCCGCCAGCTCGCGCTCAACTTCCACGAGGCCTTCCAACCTGGCTCGACCCCTTGGCGCGGAAACCGCAAATACCTGTGTCTGAACTTGATCGGCGTCATCTGGACGGTCGACCAAGATGGCCACAATACCGTGACGGTGGAGTTCTACGACCACGAGTTCCATCGCGACTTCCACTTCACAGACACGTTCCTCTACGATAAGGCCTGCTTGACGGAGCACGGCGCCCTGTTCTCGTGTCCACCGCAAGAAAACACCCTGGCCACCATCTTCTACCGCCCGCACGAGATGTGGACGCAGCGGACAGACTGGCGGACCGAACTGCCCAAGGGCGAGGCCGTGGTTGCCATGTCGCTGAGTGAGTCCTTCATCACAGTCACCACAACCGCCAACTACGTACGCATCTTCACCCTCTTTGGGGTGCCGTACCGGGTCTACCGGCCCAAAAGCACACCCATGGTCACCTGCGCCAGCTGGCGCGACTATGTCATCACAATGGGCAACGGGGCCGTCGGCGCGGACGGCAACGCCCGTCTTCTGTACACGATCGAGAACATCAAGCGGGACGAGATCTGTCAAAACGAAGACACCGTCGCACTACCCGATGGCGCGACGTTGCAGAGCGTTTTCTTCTCAGATGTCGGCGTAAGTTTACATACCACCCCCTTTTTCGGACATAAGATGTAAGTCGCTAACGGGCAGGGTCACCATCTCAGGATCCTTGCATTTATGACTCGACCGGCACTCTCCTCACCTTGCTTCACTGGCGGAAGCCCTCGCGCGCCTGCTGGGTGCCCCTCCTTGACACAAAGCTTCTCCCGCGTCTAGCGTCAGGAAGGAAGACCGAAACCTACTGGCCCATCGCGGTAGCCGACAAGAGGTTTCACTGCATCATCCTCAAGGGCGGGGACCAATACCCCTATTTCCCCCGGCCGTTACTGTCCGAGTTTGACTTCTCCGTACCCGTCACCTCCGCTCCGGCGCCGGCTCCGGACTCGGAGACTGCGGCGGATCAGCAAGGAGAAAATGGAGACGAAGAAGACGAGGGCCGCCGTGAGTCACGCAAGCTGGAGCAGAAGCTGCTCATCTCCGGCATACACTCTGCCCAGCTGCGCGACCTCATCGACCACACTGACGCCACGCACTCGCAGCGGACCGGCCTGGCGCGGCTGGAGCTCGAGCTCGACAAGACGCTGCTGCAGATGCTGGCCATTGAGTGTCGTGAGGGCGAGGAGCGCGGCATGCGGGCGCTGGAGCTTGTGGGCCTGATGCGCGATCGGACGGGCCGTATGATTGAGGCGGCGGGTAAGGTTGCGGAGCGGTACGGTCGGTCGATCCTGGGCGACAAGATCCGCGAGATTGGAGAGCGGAGAGTCAGCGGAATGGATGTCGACGATGGCGACTTTTAGGCTTTTGACATCCATGGCTCTATAACGAAAGGGACGGTAAGAGGGGGAAGGCGGGGAGGGCTACCCCCGTCACTCCCCATGTCGGGAATTGGGTTTCATGATTGTTTGGATGGGTCCTTCCCGTCAGTATAAGGAAAGGCGTTTGGATGATGATACTATGGTGACAACTTCATGGCCCGCGTTTATCTTTTTCTCCCAGGCGTGTGCGCGAAATGAATGACTAGATACAGAGCGCTGGAGGGTGTTTTGGGGGCCATCGTCGTCCTGGTCGCGTTCCCTGTAAAATGTCCATGATACGGAGCGGGACAAAGAGGCATGAATAATACGAGGAATAAACATCGTGTTCGCTGCATGGGAATAGATATCACAGGGCAAAGAGGAGATCTGTCTGGGTCGTTTTGTGAGGATACGTCGCGGTTCATCTGCCGTACGTGGAACTCTCTGCAGCACGGGCAGGAGAGCGGCACCCATGGCAGCGGTCATCGCGGAGCTTCCGACAGCTGATGTTTTCCCTTGGATCGATATTTGACCTTGGCTCAAATTTCGAATGGTCTCTCCCCTCCCCTTCCCGTCCCTTCCATGGCCCTGGATCCCAGCCTTGAACGGCATAATGTCGGACTTGATGTATGCATAAGCCCAAACACGCAGGACCCCCGGATCCGACACTCCTCCGTGGAAAGTATACTTGGAGCTCCGAAGTTGAGAGGGACCAGATCGAATCGACCACCAGTCGTAACAACTGGAACACCAAGAAGAAGATGTCTACTTGAACTTTGGTTCCTTCGTACTGAAAGCAGGGTTTTCTTTCGGGCCCATGTCGAGATATTTACGTCACCGCGGCCTCTGATTCTCTCAATTAAGTTCAAAACTGAAAGAAACTGCCCCGAGCCATGCCGCCCGGCCTCGTGTCATGTTTCTCTCTCGGCAGTCCAACCGAGACGCCATGGTCGTTCTCGGACGACTTTGCCGGATGTCCAGTGGCATTCTTCGTTCCCGTGTGCGCGGAGACTGGAGGAGAAACGGAATGAACGGCAGGGTTCGGGCCGCGTCCGGGTAAAAGGCAGCGAGAATTGGGAGGTCCTGATGGTTGGCCACGCTGTCTGTCGCCTTCAAAGGTCCCTCAGGATAGGTGTCATGTTTGGCCATGGAGATGAACAACCATGCTACACGCCTGATGGCCATTTGGGGGACATCGCCGTTTGCTTGATTACGACATGGTACCCTGTACCATTTGCAGAACGGCCATTCCATAGTAAGACGTAGGCTACCCGCGGGTTCTGTCCGGTGTTAACAAGGCAAGGGGTGTGGAAGGACGAACAACTAGACTCGAAATACGACATGGTGAAGACAGAAATTAGAGTTTAAGTCGAACAGGGTAGATCTCGGTTGTAAGCTTCTTCTTTGGCTTCGGATGTGTCGTTCCACTGGGCGGGCCATTCTCCATGGAGCGGAGCGGGTTCGTGGAGCTGGTCTGCCCCATGCCCCAATGCGGTGCCCAAAGGCACGCAGCGATTTTCTTGGTGAAGAACAGTTTCAGTGAGTGGCAGATAAGACGAAGGACACACCAGAATTAACGGGTCAAACAATCCGCAAGGGGCACCTGGAACTCAGTTGTGTGAGTCGAACTTCTAGAAGCATGATGATTCGCCGTAAGATGAGCGTCGACGTTACATCTCCAATGCCTTTCAGACAGAAAGAACGCTTACAGCAGAGAGAGTTCGCCGGAGCCGGGTCGCGTTACATCAACAGCGGACTATGGAGATGGCCGGGGGTCTATGTGGTACCACAGTGCAAGGAGCCAGTGCTGGACTGCTGGTCGAGAAGGCTGTCGGATCGACAACATTGAGGTGCTCGACCTAACATTTACCTGTTGCAGCTCCCTTTCTGACATGCTAGGTGCGTGTCTACTAAGCAGTATGTCGTGTTATCGCACAAGGCTGGACGGATAGTGGTTCTGCTGAAACGATGGGACTGCAGTTCGTTCGCTCAGGCCGCCATCCACAAGCTCCTTCGTTTTGGAAGAAGTCAAAATGCTGGTTCAGGTAGATGTAAAGAGCTCACGGAAATAGATTGGAGACTTACCGGCTGTGTGGCAGTAGCTGTCCGTCGTCGGAATGACCTGAATATGACGCTTGCTCGAATGCATCATCCATAGGCGTATTGGTGATTAGGAAGAGGTTGCAGAAGTGCATGTGGACATGTAACGAGGTCAACGTTTCTGAGCTGAAATGCTCCCTAAACCTTGTTCAGCCAAGAGCACCCGAGGCTCAAAGGATGCGCCAAGACAGAGCTGAATGGCCGTGACATCTTGTTTTCAAAACGGAAGAGTATAGCAAGCTTTGAGGCGAGGGCCGGAGGAAATAGTCCCAGGCACGGTTGAAGGCAAGCTCGAGCATGTGAATGTCCCTGTCCTTGCAGATCCAATTGCATCCAAATATCGAGATTCCTGCCATGTGGAACCCGCTTTTAGTACAGTGCCCATTGCTGAGTGAGCGACTGGGGAGGTTCCATTTCTCTTCAACGTTTGGAGGTACCCGTATCTTTGCCCATGGAAATACAACTACTTGACGACAGCTTTACATTTGTCGCAGGAGCTTCTTCGACGTGTCCTATTCGTACACTAGTAAACGTGACAAGCCCACGTCGTCGTCTGGAATCTGACCAGGGCAGGGGTTGCAGGGGAAATTCAGGGCTTTTGCTCGACGCTTTGTCCCTCGGTCTAGTATGGCTGACTGGCCCCTTACCGGCCCGGTCCATGGTCTACAGCTCCCCCCTTCAGTCCTCGAGAGAACGTCAGTAATAATGATCACAGGAGGAGGAAAGGCGTGAACTGCAAGAAGTAGACAGATGGTTTGCAGAGAATTTGTCGTGAAGACGCCGATATGCCCGATTTAGCACTGGTCAGGTCGAGACCAGGCCAAGGATGTTGAGCGGGCGGAAATTCTCCACGCCACAGAGTCGCGCTACCGTAGGGCTAACACAAAGAGAGAAGACTTGCTTGTCAGTAACTCCTTGCCTCTGCATATCAGCTCTCTGTCCATACCGTGGTAGAGAATAGCGTTGGAAGGTCCGGAAAGCCTCTGTGGTATGGCACAGGGGTTGGCGCATGCCTGCTGAATCTTGAAGCTTGAATCTTTAGTCTGCGCTTCCAGTTGCCTCCCCCGATTCATCATGAAAACTGTATGAATCCACCCTCTTGATTCAGTTGGTCATCATGGAGGTTGCCGTGGCAGATAATCGGCATCTTCAGAAGTTGAGAGCCTCTGGCCAAGAGCAATGCGATGCTTGTTTAGATCGACTTTTGACCCATGGGTCTCTGTGCGTTCCTCCTAGATGCGGAGTGATCATTGCGCGGCATTAACGGGCCCCATTGTCAACTACACAGTAGGCACCGAGCTCACGGCCATTCTGCTAGGGTTGGTGGTTAGAGACAAATGGCTTGATCGGTTCTGCCCTAGCCGTCTCGCGCGGATTGTGGATATTATCGCGAAGAAGCGAAGCCGTTGAAACAGAAGCGCACCGTCTGGCCGGTTCGAATCTTCCGTGATTCCTGGACTCTCGGTGGCCCTGCGTTAGCTGCCACAAGCACCGCACCACCACTAGCCCGAACCTTGGGTTAAGATGACGGTCGCTTTGAGCAGTGGAAAGGCGACATTTATTGGGCGAGCGGCAGAGGCCATCATCACGCCACGGTAAGACACAGGAAGCAGAAGGGCTTGCGCAAAAGCCGCTCTGAAGCCCCTGCGTGCTCAATTTGATGAGGGCAAGCTCTCCACATGCCGCATGCTGAACTGTTCGCAGTATCTACCACAGAGCACAGGCCCGAAGCCAAGCCAGCCCGCCAGGCACAATCTGTTAGCCAGTCGGCTTCCAGGATTGTCGACACAAACCACGGTTGATCGAGATTCGACACCACTCTTGGAGAACAGTGCAGCTCCCGACTGGCTTGTCAATTGTGAGAGCATCTGCTCGTATCCTCGGGGACTAGCTTTTTGGACGGGGAGCTTGGGGCCCTTCGGCTCGGTAAGAGTCCCGCCAGTTTCGCTTGTCTTCTCCCTGGCGTCGAACGGACACAGACGTGACATGTATGTAGTCAATGAACCGGATTGCTCAGTTAGGCGACAACCAGGCTAAGCGGGTGTTATCAAGCAGAAATAAAGCACAGAGCATCTCTGGAGCAGCGTAATGGAGCCCGCACGGCTTGTAGGATCCTGGAATGGCCCATTGAATGCTCCCGGTGGTGATGGGTGGTGGTTGTGGCGAGAACGAAGTTGTCCCTCTCGTCTTGTCTACCGCGACTTGATACTAACCTCCCAAGTGCAGTCGGTCAGAAGTCATCAAAGGGGGTCTGCCTCGCAAGTTTGGGGATCACATCTCAGCAGAAGATGGGCTTGGTTTGCTGGGATGGGTGTTGTCCCCACCCACACCCCCTCCTGGTCGCGGCCGCATCTAGGCATCTGGGAGACGGGGTTGGCTGAAAGACAGTGATTGTCGCAGATGGTAATCTTGTAGCTTCCTGGACCGGGCGATTGGAGAAGAGATCTTGAGCTGCATGACTGAGACAGCGTGTCAGAGAAACGAGAAGTTGGGGATCGAATGACGGGAAAAGAAAGCAAAAACGGACTTTAGAGTGGAGAGGACAGTCGAAGGGGGGGAAGAATGTTCGTGGGCTTGAGGGTATGAACACGACGGTTGAGGAGTAGAACGGATGAAAAAAGGAAAGGAGCGGTTCGTATTAATACCTAGATTTGGGAGGAGGAGGATGAGAAGGG